ATATCCTTGGAGAACGGACAAAGATGATCAGCAGAAAGATTGTAGGGATGGTGTATGGAGAAGAAGAGTAGTATTGTATAATGGAGAACTCCATGGTTTAGAATTGGAATATAAGAAAAAAAAAATCTATTAATATGGTCTCCCGGGAGTTATGAATTACGGTCTTCCAATTATGTTGTACATAACTAGGTTGAGGACTATAAGGTTTGCCGTGATTCTTGAACGCGCATTGTCGGAGGGCTAGCTTTTGTGATGTTTTTATCGGATAAATAGTATGTGTTGAGTGAAAATATTTATTAATGTTGAAATAATATTTCACACGACATAATTTCACCTATATTAGGATTTAATTAGCATAGGAGTTTATTATTTTTTAGTTTGACCCATTCAAGATTATAAGAATAACCTCTTAATTACAATCCCTTGGTATAAGGAAAAACCTTTTGATTCTAATTAAAACAGTAAATTCTACTTTCTATGAATTTGGGAAATTTGGGTTGATTTAAAATTGCGGCTGAACTTAGTGAATTTTGTCGAGTTGCCTACATACCCCGTTAAGGGATCATGCCACTTGTAGTTCGAATTTTGGGTTTGGGATTTGTGTTTGGATCATTTGGTTTTAAATTTAGAAGTTGTATTTGGATCATTCCTAGGTGTATGACCGTTTGAGGAATTAAAAGAACTTTGAAAGTTTGATTTGAAATTTAAAATTTAGATAATTCCTCGGTATATGACCACGTGAGGAATTAAAAGAACTTTGAAATTTAATTTAAGATTTGAATTTGGATAATTCCTATGTTGAATTTGGTTTGGAATTTTTTGTAATCTCAAATTTAGATTTGAATAATTCCTCGGTATATGACCGTATGAAGGACTAAAAGGATTTTAGAATTTTGACTTGAGATTTAATCTCAGGTAATTCCAATATGAAATTTAATTGTAATTAAAAAATTGTGACTGCACTTAGATTTTTATATCTAAGTTACCTACGTAACCAAAATGGAATTAAGTCTTCGTAGTTCTTGAATTTGAATTTGAATTTTGAAGAATTCCCCGATATATGACCATAGGAGGAATTCAGGATCAAATTTGATCTTGAAACTGCACTTAAATTTTTAGGTTGCCTACGTATCCCGTAGGGAATCAAGTCAATCATAGTTCTTGAATTTGAATTTGGATTTTGGAGAATTCCCGGATATATGACCATAGGAGGAATTCAAAGATGTTTTAAAATTCGATTTGGAATTTTACTTTAAAATTTGAACTTGAAAGTAATATTTGGATAATTCCCCGGTATATGACCTTATGGGGAATTAAAAGATGTTTTAAAATTTGATTTGGAAGTTTACTTTAGAATTTGGATTTGAAAGTTGTATTTAGATAATTCCCCGGTATATGACCTTATGAGGAATTAAAAGGACCCTTTTTGAATTTGGTGTTGAGATCTTTTTATTTGAATTTGGGATTTAAAAATTTTGAGGTGAATGACCTCGTTTTGGACTTTTGAGAATTTGCTTCTCAATTTATTTTTTTGAACTTTGAACTACACCTAATTTGATAGGTTGCCTACGTATCTTTTGCAGAATCAGGTCAACGTAGTTCGTTCTTAGTGATTTGAGAGTTTATTTTGAATTGAAACTCTTATATCTCTCTTTGAATGATTTTGGAGATAATTTGATTTACTATATATATATATATATATATGTTTGTGAAATGGGATTTACAGTATGTTAATAACATTTCGTATTGCATCTGTTGCAATTATCAACGTTCCATCATTGATGGATGAGCTGCCCTCTTCTTTAATTTGACCAACTCAATTAATTAACCATCTTGGCTTCTCTGCATGCTTTGGGACGAAGCTTCATGCCTTCTGTGATGAGTGATTGGCCTTCAGTTATACCATACGTTGTTAAACAAACAACAATGAAGTCTTCCCCTTTATTTGGGCTTACGTTATTGGTAAAGAAGGCCGGAGCCTCTATTCTTCTCTTGTTGGGCTTGTAATCAATGTCAGAGGCCCATTTAGATATAGCCTTAGGAAAATCAAGTTCCACGTTGCACTCTTCGGAAGTTGAAATCCATTACTGCTGTATGGTTCTTGTGCAGTAATTTTTGCATGGTTCTCCTTTATGAATGAGCATGAGAGTACATAAGGGAGTGACTATTTCTTTCTTCAGGATTTGGGAGGTCTTCATTGATTACGAACTGAAAGTAGTTAAAATTGCATGCATGGCCGATTGTGGATTTGAAAATTGTATTTAATCACCGTATGATTTTATGAGACAATGAGCTCCTCTTTTAAAATAAAGGACAATAAAAGGACTCAATTTGTGTACTTAAAATTTTTTTTTGGATATTTAATATTCCGAATTTCTTTAAAATTTATTGTCTTTCTCTTTTTTTTTTAATTTATTTTGACTGATCTTCTAACCTCTTGTTTTTTGCTAACAATTTAATTTCAAAGGAAACTCAAATTTCTCTCACCCTCCTCCTTTCTACACGTTTCTTCTTCTTTATATATACACACACACACACATTACGCTGCAAAAGCAGCAGGCAACAGTAGCAGGCAACCTTCAACCTTTGGTGTGTGTGTGTGTGTATATACACGTGTACGTGAACATCAATTCCCCATCATATTTTGATTTGCGTGTAAAGCTATTAGCCCAACAACACACACACCCACGGCTTTTTATCTCACACACACCCACGGCTTTATATATATGTATATGTGTGTATGTGCGTTTTGGTGCACTGTAAAGGAATTGAAGGTGACGTTTGTTTCCCTCTTTTTTTCTTTTTTTTTCTTTTATTATAGAAAACGAAAAGATCCTTACTAAGTGGTCCTTAATTTTTATTTCGGATTACACTTTATAAATCAGACTCAAAATTATTATAATATTTTAAACTCCACTATTATAGTCAGATTCATGTGTATATATAAAAGTTTTAAATTTTAAAACCTCATAATTTTATAGAGTTTTAAATTTTACAACTCTATTTAATTTTTAGAGGTTTTAAATTTTACAACCTCACAATTTTATAGAGTTTTAAAATTTGTAACTCTATTTGATTTTTTAAAGGTTCTAAATTTTACAACCCCATAATTTTTTAAAATTTTAAAATTTACAACTCTATTTAATTTTTTAGAGGTTCTAAATTTTACAACCCCATATTTTTTCTTAATTGGGTTTAAAAATTTGTAACCCGTATGTTTTAAACATGAATCTGACTAACAATGATGGATAAATTTTTTGTCTTGAGATGATACTTCAGTATAGAAGAAGGCTTGAGAGAAAAAAAAAAAAAAAAAACGTGTAGACAAAACATCATAATGAAACTAAAGTAGATGAGTAAATGACAAATTTTTCTATTTTTTTTTTGACAATTCTCTCGATACACACTATCTCACACCTCTCTCACTACTTTCGAATGCGTTTACTTTCTCTGCACAGTTTTTTTTTCCCGTTCGTCACACTGTATATTTTTTTTTCTTCTTCTCTCACTTCTCTTCTGCACTCACGCCTGCACAAAGCCCCCCTTTTCTTTTTTTTTTTTGTTTTCGTCCTCTTCTTTCACTTTTCTGCACACACGCACCAAGTTTTTTTTTTCCGCCCTCTCTTTTCATCCCGATTCTTCCTTTATATAAAAGAATTCGACAACAGTTTTTTATCACTACCTCATGTTTTGTACACACCACGTTCTGCACCATCATCTTTTTTTTTTCTAATCACTACTCCACGTTTTGCACACACCACGTTCTGCACTCTCTCTCCACACTTTAAAATGTACATTTTTTTTAATCCCTTTTTTTCTCTTTTTTATTATTATTATTATTTTTTTTTGGTCAGCACAAAGTTTTATTTTCTCTTCTCATTTTTATAAGGCCCATTTGTGATTTTTTTTTTTTTACCGCAAACAGTATGACCTTAATATATATATATATATACACATATATATATATATACCGCAAACAGTATGACCTTAATATATATATATATACATATATATATATATGTCGTATAGCTATGCTGTTTCATGCAATTTAAGGCACTTATTACCATAAAATAAAGAATACCCATATATACTCGAATAAGCAAATATATGGCACCAAATATATGGTGCACCGACTTATTTTTTTTTGGTCAGCACAAAGTTTTATTTTCTCTTCTCATTTTTATAAGGCCCATTTGTGATTATTTTTTTTTACCGCAAACAGTATGACCTTAATATATATATATATATACACACACATATATATATACCGCAAACAGTATGACCTTAATATATATATATATACATATATATATATATATGTCGTATAGCTATGCTGTTTCATGCAATTTAAGGCACTTATTACCATAAAATAAAGAATACCCATATATACTCGAATAAGCAAATATATGGCACCAAATATATGGTGCACCGACTTGTGATTTTCTTACTTTGCTTTTGGCAGTATCCCCGTCTTCTAGCTAGAAGACGTTAACAACCATAAATAATCTACCGTAGTTATCCGAAATTTCTGTTCATATGTCATGAACAACAAGACAAACACTCAAATAGTATACACGGAGCTGAATCCCGCAAATATAGCCTATAGATTTCGAAGAACTAAAGAAACAGATTCCCTGTCACTAAAAGAAGAATGCTGGAATATCGGTAGAAAACATTGGTCAAACTCTATCAAGCTTAATTCAAATATAATTACTTTATACATATATAATATGTAATAACAAAATATACGCTCGGATCTATATATATGTATGTATATATATTAATTACCTACAAGGCTCTCAATTAATGACACGAACAATAAGTAACATATGCACTATCTTCCATTTTACAGATGTACAATAAGTATGTAGACGCTATCTATCTCACAAAAATAAAGTAATTGACAATGTATATTACAGAGAATATATACGCATACATACACATATATACATATTAACATTATATATATTACACATATATACATTCTACAATCCCTTCTTTTAGCCATAAAGTTCAGCAGTGATAAGAAGTTCAAGTGGAGTTGCTCTGATATTTGTTAGTCCAAAGCTTTCCGTCATATCTACAGAAGCATCTAAGGGCGTGGCTATTTCAAACGCTTGTAGAAAACTAGCCACCGTGAACTGCACCATTTGGAGGGCAAAAGAAATACCAGGACATGCTCTTCTACCGGTTCCAAATGGGATCAGCTCAAAATGCTGACCCCTAACATCCACATCTTTGTTGGTGGTGAGAAACCTCTCGGGCTTGAAGTCCAATGGGTCAGGCCACAAATTCGGGTCGGTTTGGATCTTCCAAAGGTTGGTGAGGAGCCGAGTTCCCTTGTGGATGTGGTAGCCACCTATGGTGCAGTCCTTGAGGAAGACATGTGGCCCTGAGAGCGGCGCTGCGGGGTATAAACGTAGTGTCTCTTTGACTATGGCTTGGATGTATGTTAATTTGTGCATGTCGAACTCATTCACGGCTCTGTTCTTGCCTACCTGGCTGTCAAGTTCATCTTGGGCCTTTTTCAACACGTGGCGATTGTTCAGCAACAGCGACACTGCCCATGTTAGGGTTACTGCTGTGGTGTCGCTTCCTCCCGCAATCAAATTCTGCAAGTTAAAGTTCAGTTATTATTATTTTTTTTAATGCATGATCAGATAACTAGATATATCATATAGCCTCTTCAAACAATTGCTACTGCTTAGTAGATTTTTAAAAGAAGCAAAGTACAGTTGAGACGTACGTGAAAAAATTTCTGATTTTATAAAAAATGTCGCGTCGAATATTGAACGACGTGGTAGCTTATTATATTATAGAAAACCAATAATTCTCTTCAAGAAAAACAAGATTAAAAAAAAAAAGCCATAAGCTCACGTTATCTGATTAAACTTATACGTAGTTATCGCATTCTTATCCTCATTCTTGTTAAAAAGGCCTAACAACTGAACATCTATAAAAATTCCAACATCATGATGAGTTGTAAACCTGTGAAACTATCAAAAATACGGATGCGGAAATGTGCATATTTCTTACTCCATATGTGCATGCATGTTTGTAGCTTTTAAAAGTTAATTGATGAAGTGATTGTTTGAAATTTGATCTAAGGAAATTTGTCATGCTACTTCTATATATAAAAGGTAGTGTTTCGCATTCTTTTATCTTAGAATCGGTTGCACCAGTTCACGTACGTAGTGCCAATAATAATAAGACAATAAAATTTTGTACGTACCAAAATTGTGGCCTTGTTGATTGTATCAGCATCGAAACCCCCAAGTTCTGAATCGTGAAGTACAGAGAGCATCACATCCATGAAGTCTTGTTCCTTTTTCTCTTCATTACTCCTTTCTGCTCTATTCTGCTTATGCTCTTCAAGCCATTCACCAACAATACCATCCAAAGCCTTTGCAGTTTTCTTCATGGCCTTCTCATAGCCGCCTAAATCCAGCCACCCGAGATAAGGAATCGCATCCCCCGGTACAAACAGCCCAACAAGGTTAAAGAATTCCTTTATTTCTTTCTGAACTAAGCGTCCTTCTTTTACATCACCACCATCATTTGCATCAACAGAGTAACGCTTCCCAGCCACCATTCTGAGAATCACGTTGAGCGTCAAGTCCGAAAACCTTTGCTTCATCTCCACCGAAGCTTGGCCCGAATGATCATTATCATTCCATTTGGTAGTCCAATGCTGGTATAACTCCTTAACGAAAGCTGCCACTTCAGAGATTCTAATGTGTTTGAGCAGCTCAAGACGGCGGTTCGAGAGCAACTCAACCGTGGCTATCTTACGAATCTCGCGCCAAAAGGGTCCATGCGGTGCAAATGCAAACATGGCGTAGTTGTAGCCGATGTGCTTCGCGGCAAGCAAGTTTGGACGTGAGGCTAAGGCCAAGTCGTTGGTGGTGAAGCACTCTCTAGCCATCTCAGAGCTACTCACTACCAAACCTCGATGAGACCCGATTCGGATTGTGAAGATCGGTCCACATATGTCGGCCATGGCACCCAAATTTATGTGGGAAGGCTTAGGCCCTTTTAACAAGGAAAGGTGACCAAATAATGGCCAACCTCCCAAAGCTTCAGGTGGTGCTTTGCCCTTGCCAATTCCCCACATACGTGTTAAGAAATAGTAAATAAAGACTATGGCACATAATATTAATCCTGCCATGATAGCAGTCAGATCATGTGGAAGTAGTAAAGAAGCCATATTGTAATTTTGGTAAAACCAAGACGGCCTTGAAATGTGAAGCATGCAAGAGAGGTTTGTACGGGCAGTACTATGTTTTGTATTCTAAAGAGGAGAGCCTAACATCGTGCTTATTTATAAAAGAAGCCTAGTTCGCCGTTTAGGAATATTAATGGATGATACAGGTGGCTGTTGAGGAAATTTGCTGACTGAAGTTTTTCTTTTTAAGTGTTTCATGCACGTCACTTGATTATTATTGGATTGTAGTGACATATTAAGGAAAAAAAACCATAAGACTATAACTATATGCTCAGAACGTAGTTGCAGATTTATAACTTCCATTGACGGCAAACAATATACATATTTTATTGCAACACAGAACAACTCAGAATGTACCGCTTCACTAGTCATGACAATATGCTTACGTATCGAGATATACGCTCAAACGTCACTCTTACAAATAGAAGGAGACAAGCGAGGGTTTGACAAAATTAAACTTAAAGCGGATAGTTATTTTGACATTTGTTAGTCCAAAGATAGCTGTCATGTCATCAACCGGTCCATCGGTCAAAATATTGCGAGGACGCAACAAGCCAAGCTATCAGGTTCATGCGCCATTTGGAGGCAGGGCAGTACGTACTATATATATATAGCCTATATAGGGAAGGGGGTATATAATAGGATTTATATGTGATATGAATATATTTTACGGAAAAAAATATATGATATCATGTAATATATACAAGGATAAAATATACTTTATCGATGTAAATATCTGGGAAAAAAAGAAGAAACTTTAAGAAAGATAGAAAGAAATGCATTGCCACAAGAACTTAACTGCAATCTATCTTTTCTCCCTTCTAATATCAATTACTATTTCATTTTTGATAAGCCTTTGTCAATTAGCTATTATGTGAAGGTAATAGCTTTATTGGAATTCTTACTGATTTTAGAATTTGGGTCTGCCCTCTATCTCAGGGAATAGCAACATTCATGTGACTTCTTATCATTGCGTAAAAAGAGAAAAGATACGAGGAAAAGACAATATAAGATGGTGGTTGAAACTCAGGGAGTCACATTCATATTGAAATTAAAGAAAAACAGCAAAGACTTATAAAAAACAAAATAAAATAACTTCATTATATCTTTCTTTTTCATAAGAAAGATTCCAAATCCCAATAATCTCTGTGACTAACTCACCTTCGGAATTCAGAAAGCTTGAGGCAAAAAAAAAAAAAAAAAGCTTTGTAGATTCTAATTAACAGGGTAAATAACATCTTTAAATAAAAAAAATAACAAGAAAATACCTATATCGGCAAGTTTCCTATCATATGATGTAAGCAAGATTGACCTTCTTCTACCGCCAAAGTGAGCTCAAAATTAATGTTTGCTCTTGATGTCAAAGTCGTCACTGTAGCACGTGGATATTTGTATACTATATATGGCACTATATTGTTGGGAATACAATTTTTAATTTGTTTTCTTAAGTGTCGTTCAATTCATAACTCAAATCAACTATAATGTTTGTCTCACAAAATTTCAAATTTAAATTCAATTTTTGTCAACAGTATATTTCTCTCACCACACAACTCAAGTTTTTAACTTGAGTTGTGAAACATACCCTTAGTTTTTTTTTTTTTTTTTTTTTTTTTTTTTTTTTTTTTTTTTTTTTTTGCCTTTTGTTAGTTTATTTGTTTACTTTTATCAATGACGTACACTAATAGTTAACTCTACGAGACATTTACCAAAAATAAATTGCTCTACGTACCAAAATGTATACCAGCTTATAATTGGGGAAAAAAGTTATTAACCGTTTTCTCTCTGCATTTCTTTATAATAAGTACACTGTCATGTTCAGGCAAGAAAACATAGGGACTGGAATATGTAATTCCTATTTAGAACTGTTCAGAATATATGTAATTCGATAAGTGTAATACAATATTTGAAAAGTTACTTGCTCTTGGTCACAGCTAGTTTTACAAATATCACATAATTGAAGCAACTGTTAAGGAGAAGAAACACAAAACTACGAGCCTGATCCGACTGCAATGGGACGCATGCATGGGCTCCATGTTCATGCAATATAGTCCCCAAAACATACATACACAATTACGATCAAAATGTCGTGATTTAGGCTCTATAACATGATCACTCGTAGTGAGAAATAGACAAGCGAGGTTTGACAAGAACATCAAGCGGAGTGGCTTTAGCATTTGTCAATCCAAATATAGCTGTCATTTCGACCGGCCAATCGGTGAAAACATCAAACGCTTGCAACAAGCCATCAATCACCAAGTGCGTCATTTGCAGGCCATAAGTCATCTCAGGGCAGGACTTTCTTCTGCCGCCAAAAGGGATAAGCTCGAAATGCTTGCCCTTAAAGTCAACATCCTTGTTCGCGGCGGGGATCTCTCTGGATTGAACTCCAACGGATCATTGGACCATGTTCTAGGGTCTGTTTGGATCTTCCAAAGGTTGGTAATCAGTCGGGTTTCTTTAGGTTGGTAGCCCTCCTCTGGCGCAGTCCTAGGAGAATTCTCTTGGTCCTGAGAGTGGTGCTGCTGGGTACAACCTTAGCGTCTCCTTCACCACTGCTTGAAGATATACCAAGTTGCTTATGTCCGATTCCTTCACTAGTCTTTCCTTACCAACGTGGAGGTCCAATTCGTCTTGTACCTTCTTCAGCACTAATTTGGCAAAATTTCCGACATCTATTTGAATTAGTAGACTTTAATTGAGAAATGGATATTTTATCTTGAATCTTAATTTAAATCTTAAAAATACTAATAACAATAATTGTCATTATTCTTCCACTGTCAAATAGTCAAGTGAGTGAGTTCAATTGGTTAAAGGTGTTTGGGGAAGGGAAAAAAAAGAGTAGTTACCATGCATGTAGCTTTGTTGACGAAATCGGCATCATAATCAGAGAGATCATTGGACTCATCAAGGATCGAAAGCATCACATCCATGAAGTCTTTTTCTTCACCAAAGTTACCAGATTCCTACCTCTGCCGATGTTCCTCCAACCATCCCTCAACAATAAAGTTTCGAATGTACCCATGTTAGATAGTTAGAAGCAAGCTTAACACCTTTTATTATATGCATAAACGAGGAATCATTTCCCGAACATTTCTAATTTTTTAATATTGATATTCATGGCTGCCTCTAGGCGTGACAATATGGCCGGCATAGGATGGACGTCCTTCTTTCTTTGACAAGTCTGTTTTTCGGAATGCTGATCTTGTGCACTCTTGGCTCTTCTTATATTATTATTATTTTTTTAATTTTATGAAGAGGATCTTCTACGGTCTACCTGTTAATTATTTCACAAAATATATAACCTGAGACGATATTTTTCAGCCTAGCACATCATGGGAATTCCTCTTGTTTTGCGCACAAGCCTTAAGATAAGATTGGATTACTTGTTGAAAATTTGTTTCTGATAGATGATCTTATTTCATGTTAATGAGTTTTCTTGGACCGCAGGAATATCTCACGAGGCTGTATATATTCCCAGGAAATTAATAAATTCACGTGTACTTATATATACTAGTTGAGATGCACGCGGAAAATAACTTTATAAGTTTTATCTCGCGTTAAATCACGTAGCACTTAGAAGTTAAGTTCATTAATTGGAGTAAGAGAAAAAAAAAAAATTTTAAAATCATATTGAAAAAAAAATTATGGTTATATTGGAGTTTTTATAATAAAAAAAAAAACATATGCATGTGCATGGAGACATTTGAAAGGAATTATTTTAATTAATTATATTATAATTAATTAGAAGAAAGCTGCTTTTATATATGTTAGATGTTAGACTAGATGTATAGATAGCCCTTAAAAAATTAAACTATATAAAAGCCTTTATCAAAATAATAAAAAACATAACAAAATCACAAAATAAGATAAGGAAAGAGCAAAACACATCTAAAAAAATTAAACTATAAAAAATATTCATAAAATTAAAAAAACAACAAAACATTAAAAAATAATAAGAATACAAAAAGTAAAAAGAAAACGTGGGTGGTGGGGGGTTGGAAGGAAGGATGCGGGGCTACCAAATAACAGCTTGGAAAGTGCTATATGGGAGCATTGTATAAAAAAATGTGTAAAGATCACTTTTGGCATAACAGAAATTAGATGAAAAATAGTTAAGTGGAGACACATTTGAAAAAAATTATTTCAATAATTGGTCAAAAAAAATAAATAAATAGAAACACATGCAAATGAAATTACTTTCATAGGAGTAAAGTGCAAAAAATTATTTTTAAAAAAATTCACGTTAAAAATTAAACTGTAAAAAGATTAAAAAAAATAAAAAAGTAAAATGTTTAAAGATAAAAAGACTAAAGATAAAAAAGTAAAGAAGGAAAAAAAATAAAAAGTGGGGGAGGAGTAGAGGCCGTGGCAACTCCATAGAAGAGTATTATTACAAGAGGTTGACTCTTTTATGTATTGTTAGATTAGATATAGATATATATACATATAGTTTCATTTAAAGCACTTGGTTTAATAATTTAATTCATTGAAAACTTTCTTTATAATATAGATGATTTCTCATATGATCAGATAAATAAGTAACATGATTCAATTTGATGCATATTTATTCAAATCAAAATGGATCTCTCAAAAGTCTTACAGGTTAATAATTTTCAAAAGCCAATGATAGTTAATAATTTTCAAACGCCAATGATGATGATGATGACGATGCTAATGATGATGATAACAGCAACAACGGTTCAAGTATAAAAGAACATGGCCACAGTACTAGCAAATCTTCTACGGTGTTGTGATTTGATAAGCTTTTAAAAAAATGAATAAATTAAATAAAAGAGAAAACTGGTTAATTTAATGTCGTTTCTACTGCTATTGCCTTTTTTTTTATTGAAATTTCATTTTTTTTTAACCATTAATGTCACTGTTCTGTGCCTAGCTCGTGTCATGCTCATGTCAATATCGTTTGTCTCTCTAATGCTTTTCTACCTTTCTTTCTTTGTACTTTTTAGGTATTAACGGTTGTT